ATACACTGAAAGAGGTCCTCTATTCTCTACTTCCTCGGCCAAATTTAGTTGTAACCACTCCAAAGCCTGACACACCTCCTTCCCCCTCGACCACGAATCAAAATGTCATGCTCTACCTTAGAACAACCTGACAATTTTAAATGGTTGCCTTTGCTGTCTGACAACAACAGTGGTGTAAGACGTTGTTGCCCAGATGGTTGCTCAATATCTTTGTGCAAAAACTTTACTAGTTTACTTTCCATTTTGGCGGCTATTCTTTATGAGGTTCTAGTAAATGTGTCTGTTCTCACGAAAGTCTTGCAAGGAAAGAGCGAGAAAACGCGTGGTCGCATCCTTTATACGCACGCCTGTGATGTTGTCCGATATAATCTGACCATAGTATCAGAAGTTTGGGCAGGCCTATGCCTGAATTGGGTCTTTGCGTCTTCCTAACCTAGGCTACATGTATACCCCTACTATCTAACATCACAAGGGGTGACGAAAACACTCTACCTGCATAGCCTGTTTGATATCAAAATCATGTTACATGTTGAGGTTTTATTTGTTGCTTCATCCCGTACGTAAACTGGATTTTGGATCTAGCCAATCTAGGCCCACTCAGACTCAACAGACTCTATTTTGGGGCTCTGATTTACTAGTAGATTAACAAGGAAGCCTGTGAGTTTTATCAAAGAAGTTGCAAATGGTTTTGTTATTCAGTCGTGGGAGACTAAATTTATTTTCTTAACTAACCCCGTGTATGGACAGTAATTGTAGCCTAGGCCTGTATTTTATTCAATCCATTTGGCAAGAATCTTCGGACTAAAACCAATACACAAATGTCCATCCATACATTAATAGAATTTTATATGGCATTTAAAAACTTTAACAAAGTAATAGATATCCTTCCTAAATCGTTTCAACAAAGCATCCAAGTAGATGGCATACAAAAAAAATTATATTTGTACTATTTTGACACTTATTTTTTTGACATAATGGTCACGTGGTGTTTTTTACGGGTAATAGTATGCTTCTTTCGGAAATCATCCTTTATTTGTATATATTGATAATCGAATTGAAAAAGATTTTTTCGGAAGGCTAAAGTACCAAATTGTACACATAGGCAGCTTCTAGATTACGTGTATATTTTAAAATTTCATAAATTTTAGCGCAGGAAGAGACCTATCACTTTAAAGATACGCATACGCTGGGAATATAGTTCGTCGTTTATTTATTTGTATCAACAGATTCTTAATTGTTTCATCTTTACTGTTGATTTTTATTTCTATTCTTTTGTTTCATACATCATATTATATAAAAAAAATTATAGAAATTGTACTTTTACATGTGAAACGGACACGAAGGGTGATGGAGGTTGAACCGAGTGTGCACTAAATAACATTGTTTTGTAATGTTTATCTTCGATTTACAAAATCAACAAGTATTATCATCGGAATCTACTGATATCGAATGAAAAATAACACACATTTTCAGGTAAATTGGTTGATTTACAAACTTGCGTTTGTGTTATATCTGCATTTCGAAGTAGGTTTGTTTAGTTAGTGAATCCGCCATTTTGTTTACAGCGTTATGCATGGATGATAAACATGTTGAATTGTGACTCTATCTCAATGTATTTTGATAAAATAAGACTCGACTGTTGCAGCGGGATTATATGAGATTATGTGGAAGTAAGTTTGAAAGTTGTCAGTTATGTCATTATCGATATCTATGGGAGTTAGTAATTTAAAATTTTGTTATATTTTGACTGAGAAAATTTGGGGTCATCAAGTGCACATTGAAATTTCAAGGAATTGCTTCCTATAATTTTGATCTAAATGTTATTCTGCTCATTTTGGAAATTTGTATCCATGGACTCCATGTCATGCTTAGAAATAAATTTTGTTAAAATTTTCAACAGATTTCAAAATGGGTGAGGTTTACCTTGCCCTCAATTGATATAAAACCCAAAGTGAAAACTGTCCACAAAACTTTTGTCCCGGTAATTGAATTTGAAAGGTAGAACATTTGATTGGTTGATTAGTCAATTTCATTATCTCTTCAGTGGGTTCTAATCCATAAGAATCGAAGAAATAAAAGTCATTTGAAGATTCTTTGTACAAAGCAGAATGATGAACTCCTTTTTGATCGGAAGTATGTATATTTGTTATCGCGTAATATTTACCTTTCTTATATTTCAGATCATTTATTTCATCTCTCATACAATAATAAATCGGTGATATATTTAACTCATTCGCCCATCTCATAAGTTGAAAGTTTGTGGTTGTATCGGTTCCACATTTATCGAGAAAGATATTCTTTTTTAAAAGTCGGTTTTTTGAAGTTCGTTTTGATAAAACCTACCTATGATTTGTTCTTTGTCTTGATCAATTAATTCATATGTCGGAGGTGATGTGGTGTTTACTTTATCAACGATAAATATTTCGTTTGTCCAGTATCCAACGTTTTCTTTATTTCATTTTCGTAGTTATGTTGCGCGTTAATTGACTTTATAATATTTTTTCGATTACTCGAGGCTTGTGTTGGTAGGAAACCTATAGATGAATGAATTTTGTTATTGTATTCATCTACAATCTCTGGTAATATTTTAAGCCATTTTTGAGATTTCAATTCCGTGAACTTTTTGAATAATTTATTTTTTAGAGTCCTATTATATCTCTCAATAACTACAGCTTTACCTTCATTATGCGTGCTGTAAATTTCAAATCCCAGAGATTTCATATTTTTGTTATAAAATTCACTTCCTTTATCTACCCACAGTTTTTCTGGATGTCGGTTAGATTGTTTCATAATCGTTTCAAATGCGTGTTTGACTGATAATCCTGTTTTGTTTTTCAAAGGAATAACCAAAGCATATCTCGTATACAAATCTATAACTGTTAAGCAATATTTAATTCCTCTTTCGACTGGCATATGAATTAAATCGGCTGACCATATTTCATCTTTTTCAAACACTTTGACTTTTAAAAAGTTTTTAGTTTTTCTAAATTCTTTGTGAATTTCATCCGCTAATCCCATGCCTAATTTCATCTTTGCTTTTAACAGTTTTATGATTAGAGCCCTTTGCATTCTCTTTTTGAAAGTTGGATTTGGAATATTTTCAAGTTCGATTATCATTTGTCTGTCTGCTTCGTGTCTGAAGTTTATGTCTTTATTTCTGTATAAAATATCGTGTTTAAGCGCAGCGGCGTCAACTCTATTGACTGGTTCTTCGTCGGGTTTGGGTTTATCGTTTTCGTCTAATCGCAGATCTAACCTGGTACCTGGACCGGTGTAATTATGACCGGGAGGATGTTTTTCTCCGGGATATTTTGTCCATGGAAATCCAGGAAGAGAACCCAATGATTTTTGTATATCTGAACCAAAATAAGTTTTTGGAGCGTGACCGATAATCATTTTTATCCTATAACTTTAAAACCCTTTCCTCTCGTTTCTTCTAATCTCCTGTTTCGCAGATCTCTTATTAGTTGTAATTCTTTCAATTCGTCAGATTGTTTCACTGCGTCGCTTATACTCTTTCCCGCTTGCGCGATTGAGCCGACGGCTTTCGCTCCGGTTGAAATGAGTGATTTATTGTTTGAAACAAAGCCAGCTACTTTTGGAATTATTGTTTTACCTAGAGAAAATAATGAAGAAAAGATACCGTCGCCCGAATAACCTTCGAATCTGTGTTGTTCGTGTTTTAGAATTAAACTCATCCTATTTTTAAATGAGTTATTTTAACTAAGAAATTGTGGTCTGTTTCTTTTATCCACAAACAAGAGTTATCTCCCTTCTACTAAAAATAACATTATTTAAAACGAGGCTATTAAAAATGTTATGTTATTTTTATATAAGGGTATTTTTAATATGCTTTTTTTTTGATGGAATGTAGGAAATTGATTGAAGGTGTTTTTGGTGTATGAAATGTAGGGAATTTAGGATGTAAGTATTTATAGGGGGTTTAGGTTTTTTTTAGTGAAAGAATTTATGAAATGTAGGGTGTTTAGGGGTTTTTTTTAGTGTAATAATTTATGAAATGTGGGATGTTTAGGTCTTTTTTGGGAGCTTACATATTGGTCGCATGAAATGGAATGGGAAATTCCCATGCGACCAATATGTAAGCTCTAGTACTACTCAAGATCAATTTTCTAATATTTACACTAAACGTTTGGTAAGTGATTTTAGAAATATAAATCTAAGTAATTTACTTATCTATGGTAAATTAGATCCCGTTCCATTGAGAATATCTTATTTTAAACCTATACCAATTAATCCCAATTATTATTTTATTGGCACGTAAACAGGTAAATAATACAGACATATAAATATTTATATTAGACTCTATAAATTATCTAAAATAACCAGTAGAAAACTGACATGTAGTTGATATCAGATATTCAGAGACAGTAAGCTCACGACATAACATTATTTTATATCTATTTATAATAGATATAGAAAAATTTAGCTGTAAGTAGAATATAGATTATTTTATACAGATTTTAACTTCTATACAATATCTGACTTCTATCATTATAAATTAACATAAAACACATCATATCATTATTCATGATTTTAATTTCTTCATTTCAGACTTGGTTTCAGAACAGAAGATGTAAAGAAAAACGTCTAAATAAGAGAATCATGTCGATAAAATGAGAAAAGAGAAAAGAATTAACCATTGTGATTTACAAGAACCGGTCCCAATTTCTGCACTACAAGACAACCTATATGATTATTCTATGAACAGTTTATCTAATATTAATTCAACTAATAGTTTCTTATCACAAGATATTATAATATACCACATTTAGATTGTTATATAACAGACGAATGTTTACACAATCTTCAACAAGAATCACTTAATTCTTCATCTTCTTCAAGCATGACGTCATCATTTAACGACCTTGATGAGCTAGAACCATCTATACCATCATATATTATGACGTCATCAGAAATGTTGAGTATTGTACAAGATGTCAGTTTATTAGAAGAAAGTGAAATGAAGATTAAAGATGAATATTATATCAAAATAGATAAAGATATAAATTGTCAATATTATAATTATCATGATTTTTATGTTAATTTAGATTTTAATGAACATATATTCATGTAAACATTCATTGTTTTTTTATATTATGTTATTAATAGTGCTAATAAAATAATAATTGGGATTAATTGGTATTGTCTTTAGATTTTAGTTCTTAAAACCACTTAAAAGGAATATTCCAGGTTCGATCATGGAACATTTTGAGCAGTTGGATTTTTCGAACCAGCTTTTCAGTGTGGAAACATACGACTGAAATTCATAAAATTCTATTATGTCTCAGATGAGAAAATATAACAACCTCTGATCAAAATTTTAAAAAGTTCAATTCTTTTATGTGAGATTTTTAGACGATATTTTTTATTCATTTGTACAGAAACTTTGGCAAACTATAGAATATATCAAATCTTAAATAATCAACAATCCTCCGTCAAGCTAACGAAACTTTTCTTTAAAACATTTCATTGTTAAAATGCAATAATATCGAAAGAATCATTATAATCATATAATCATTTTCCCCCAAGAATGAATATGAAAACAAGTTGGCGATAGACCCTCCCAATCCAAAGTTTTACTTCGAATAGATACATTTATGGTAACGGATTAATATATAAGCTTCTGCTTGTTTCTAAAACCATTGCCATATATATATAATGTATAATAAATATTGTATGAAAAATATTATGAATCTCACATAAAAGAATGGTTGAAAGGCGGATATTGATGATATTTCTCGTTCCAACTTAGTCAAAATATGGTAGTATAAGAAGTAGCTTCTTATCCCCAGCATCTACCACTGACCAAATTTGGTCTAAAATCCTGCCAACTTCAAAAAGATATAATGCAGTTGCGTCTTGTCTCTACCTTATTCACCAAAAACTATTAAGAAACCAATTATCTAGAAGCACAATTGATAACCTCTGAGAGAACTTTTTTAAATTTTGATCAGAGACTGTTATATTTTCGAAAAATCCAACTGCTCAAAATGTGCCATGATCGAAGCTGGAATATCCCTTTTAAGTGGTTTTAAGAACTAATTTCTAAAGACAATACCAATTAATCCCAATCATTATTTTATTAGCACTATTAATAACATAATATAAAAACAATAAATGTTTACATGAATATATGTTCATTAAAGTCTAAATTAACATAAAAATCATGATAATTATAATATTGACAATTTATATCTTTATCTATTTTGATATAATATTCATCTTTAATCTTCATTTCACTTTCTTCTAATAAACTGACATCTTGTACAATACTCAACATTTGTGATGACGTCATAATATATGATGGTATAGATGGTTCTAGCTCATCAAGGTCGATAAATGATGACGTCATGCTTGAAGAAGATGAAGAATTAATTGATTCTTGTTGAAGATTGTGTAAACATTCTTCTGTTATATAACAATCTAAATGTGGTATATTAATATCTTGTGATAAGAAACTATTAGTTGAATTAATATTAGATAAACTGTTCATAGAATAATCATATAGGTTGTCTTGTAGTGCAGAAATTGGGACCGGTTCTTGTAAATCACAATGGTTAATTCCTTTCCTAGAATCAGGATATTGACATTTTTCTTTACAGAAGTCCGATTCTTGATTATTTCTGTTAAATCTAGGATTAAATAATTCTTTTCTCATTTTATCAACATGATTCTCTTTATTTAGACGTTTTTCTTTACATCTTCTGTTCTGAAACCAAGTCTGAAATGAAGAAATTAAAATCATGAATAATGATATGAGGTGTTTTATGTTAATTTATAATGATAGAAGTCAGATATTGTATAGAAGTTAAAATCTGTATAAAATAATCTATATTCTACTTACAGCTAATTTTTCTATATCTAGATTTAGTGTATCACAAAGTTGATCAAAAACATAACTGTCTGGATAATGATTTTCTTGAAATATTCTTTCTAAAATATTCAACTGAAAGTAAAAAACATTTGAATTAACTGATGGTTTATAAATTTAGATATAAAATAAATAGATATAAAATGATGTTATGTCGTGAGCTTACTGTCTCTGAATTTCTGACATCAACTACATGTCAGTTTTCTACTGGTTATTTTAGATAATTTATAGAGTCTAATATAAATATTTATATGTCTGTATTATTTACCTGTTTACGTGAATATTTGGTTCTTTCTCGTCTTCTAACACCTTTAAAAGGTTGTTTTGTAAATTCATTACAATTTATAACAGTTTTCATTTTAACTGATAAAGTATTTTATAATAAATTTGTAGAAAACAGAATGTAGAAATAATGATACATACTGATATTATTTCTCTTATATAGTAAATATGTAGCGGTATTTTATAACATGTATCTTGTTAAATGTTGATAAGGAAATAATACATAATGATAAATATACAATGCTTATAATCTAATGTTATTAATATATTGATTACAATACTTTAATGTTAGAGTTTTCTAGTGAACACTAACTCACGTAT